AGACATACCACTGTGCCACAAGCTTGTATCTTATTGTGTAGTATCATAATATTTTTTTAACTTCTTTAATCGTTATAGAGCAGAGGGTAAGTGAGCCTGCATAAAAGTGAATGTGAATATAAAAAAACCAAACACTGTGGAAGTTGAGATATATGTTTGTAAAAAATGTTTTATTTTCACTAATAAAATCACGCTATAAATCCAAATGATTAACGTGTATTGGTAATTCATCTCAGCATCTATTGTACGTTTACACTTATCCTTATTAACATCTCCCCCCTCCCCGTTCCTTAGCGATCAGCCTTAGAGCTTATAACGTTAAAATTTGGGGTTCAATGTCTGCGGTGAGAATAGCAATGGTAGCCCAGTATGCGACTTTGCGTTAAAGTCAAAATCAAGGAACGATGGACCCGCCTTCAAAGTTTTGTCATTACAGTCAAGAGAATAGGCAAGCTCCCACAGTCAGGTTTGATGAGTTTAATATTTGTACGGTTAGTTTAAGCCATCCTGCAGACTTGCAGCTATATATTCTCCATAAATACTCTGCACGACCGCGCCACTCTCTTTGATAACCTATTACCGGTATTACCGCCAGGTGGCAACAGGTTAACTCCGATTACACTGTGTCAGGGCTCAAGGGATGTCGGCAAGACCGAGTCGGTCTCTTCGATGATCTGAGTGAGAAATGCCATGTCCAATATCCCAGAAGCTGCTGTGGTAGCGACGTCTTTCAATATTTAGCTACAGGGTAGGTATCTAGAGATTTTAAGTAAAGCTACTGACAAACCTGGTGGCTTTTATTAGAACTGAAAGTTAAGTGTAATGACTAGACTAAAATTGTAAAGTAAATACAAAAAACTTTTAAAGTCATTTACGTACGTTGAATGAATAAAGAAAAAATTATGTTTCTCATTTTCCAGGGGGATAAGTGCCCCCACCCCCACCCAACAATAGATCGCACTGAAACTCCTTCTTTGTGAATATTTGGTAAAATATAGAAACATCATGGGTGACTACCTAATGTTCTGATGTTCAAACACTGTCTTTCATTAACAGAGTAATGTATTTTGCGTCTGGATATCTTTAGGATTGTATAAACAATAACAGTTACACGTTAACGCCAAATGTCTTTTCTATTATTTAGTACACCAAACGTTTTTCTGTGAACTTTCTTCCCATCATGATTACACACTCTCACCATTCTTAGGTGAGATCAAAGATAGCCTTAAGACAACATCATTTATTAAAAAAAAACAACAAAAAACAAACCTACACACAGACTTTCCATAATCCATCTAGTTTACGAGGATGGCGGTTTTCCTGGATCTGTTTACACAATCGAATTGCACAGAAATCCATAGGCACTGCGTCCGGCAACTTGGTCAGTAAATCTTCGTACAAAATAATACGAATACTTGTTTCATTCTCCAATTGCTTGAAGTAGGTTGAATGGATATGTCGTTGAAACAACCCCTGTACACGTGACTTGTGTCCCTTTTCCAACCAGAGATTCTTCTTGAAGTATCGCATACTGTTGCCTGGGGTACATGAATGGCTTCTACCACTGATCTTTGTTTCCGTGCATAGACTGTGGTTACAAGACGCCGCACTTTTCTTATCTCTGTTTTTTCAATGCCATTAAGAACAAGGAATATACCGGACTTGGAAATTCTAAATCTCCGATCTGAATATATCGTTATGATATGAGTTTATGAATATTTTACGTCGAAAAGGGTTGTCACGTATCCTCCCCCCCTTTCCCAAAAGTGATAAATTTTCGGGGGCATTACAACGCCCACGTAACGCCAAGCAATATCAAAATTTTTTATTACACGTTATTTTCCAGTGCAACTTATATCGACTGTGGTTGTCACGTGACCTGCTGACTCGCACATTCAAAACTGTTTTAATATAACTTACTCAACGAAACGATGCATTGAGGTACGTTAATTTTTAATTTCGCGAAACGCCGTATTGTTGTGTGTTCATTTTTAATCCCGCGAAACGTCATATTGTGGTGTATTCATTTTAAGTCCCACGAAACGTTTTATTGAAGTGCGATGTTTTTTAGTCCCGTTTTAATCTTGTACATATCAACCTACATTGCGTTTACTCACATTAACCGAAGTTAGTTTCGCGCAAAGCTACACGAGGGCTATCTGCGCTAGCCGTCCCTAATTTAGCAGTGTAAGACTAGAGGGAAGGCAGCTAGTCATCACCACCCACCGCCAACACTTGGGCTACTCTTTCACCAACGAGTAGTGGGATTGACCGTCACATTATAACGCCCCCACGGCTAAAAGGGGCGAGCATGTTTGGTGTGATGGGGATTCGAACCCGCAACCCGCAGATTGCGAGTCGAGCGCCCTAACAACCTGGCCATACCGGGCCAAATAAAATGGAATGAAGCTTGTTTGAAACGCTAATTTTAGACGTATTAAGCAATATTACCACTTAAGTCATATTAATGGGAATTAGAATATCATGAAACTAATTGTTAATTACAAAACTTCTTATGCGAGTTTCCGGTGCACCTGACGAATTCTTTTTGTTTGCTTGTTTATTAATGATATAAATGTTTTTTAGGCGCAAAACTGTACAATAGACTATCTGCATTGTGCACTCTGCAGTGATCGAGCCTCGAATTTTAGCGTTATAGACCCCCATATTTACCGCTGAGCCACCAGGGGGCTTACTAATATATATATTTAAGAAATAAGAAATACAACTGTTTGGCCATAAACATATACATTTTAATATCCTATAGTATTAATAAAAATAACAAACAATTCACTGAGAAAATTTTTCTTTGGTCACAAATGAAATCATAAGTTTACACACAGAAGACACGTATTTACAGGGACTAAAAAAAGAATACATTCATTTTGTACGTCATGTTCTTATATTCTGTATCTATTACGTTTAGTTACGTGAAACACGTGCTTTGGTTTATTTGCTGTACGAGGACAATGGTGCTTGTCGCATTTCAACAGGTCAATCTTGACACTCCACAATGTGCAGTCTCTTCTATTAAAATTTACAACATTTATCACTGAATATTTGACGGTTTTTGTGTTTGTTTGATTAAGGTGAGCTAGTTATATCTGCTCCCCATTGATTGGTCGAATAACTAGCACTCCACCAATGATATCACTCAAACATAGCAGTCCACCAATAAACATGAAATACAAATGTCTCTCACACTTTAGTAAAATCAATCACACACACACACAGACACATAAGATACAGAAACATAAATCATTACTAAGAGTCACCATACTGCAAACATTCGCTAATATAAATACTTGCCGTGTATCTCCAATAGAAAAACTCTTTAATTGTTGACTATTAATAGTCAATTTACTACGAAACGTTGTAATACTGCATGCCAATAAGTACAATATTAAACAAGTAATAATAATAATAATTAACATTAAAGTTGGTGGTGTTCGTGGGGATCAACGTCGCATATTTCGTGTCACTGGTCACTATATGTTGTTGTTTCCAACAAATACCCAAAATAACGAATTGATATTCTACTGCACGAACAGCTTCAATAGATATATATATATATACACATCCAAACTTTGGGAAGTCTACTCAACCTATGTCTCTATATGCACAACTTTGAGTATAAAAATTTGGTTTAGTTTTTAAATATAATATAATGTTTCACAACGCACTTTTTGACGGTAATGCGAGACCTCTGAAACACATTCTTCTTGACTAGATGGTCACTTTTGCTCGTACATAATTTCATTCTCGCGTTTTGATGTACTCGTCGTTTTTACGCACCGGGGAAGGTTTTGGAGATCACCCTCACCCTCTTGACTTTTCTGCTGGACATTCACGTGAGGTTCGGAGAAGATAGATGCTGTTCGGCTAATGTCCGACGAATGACTGTGGTGACCAGTGGGGTCACCTGATGAGGTGGGACTAGAGAGTGTATGGAGATAATCGCCCTGTGATGACAATGGGCTGTTCAATTCATCAGGGTCAGAGGAGCACGGAGTTGACCTTTCATGGGATATTAGATCACTTTCGTTTAGCTCAAAACCGGAATCATCCGAATCGGGATTGTCGTCATGGTTACCCAGGAGCTCTGCCTCCTGCAAAAGGAGATGTTGCCAGAGTCCGAGCACTAAAGGGTCGTCAGGGGCAACCTTTTCGTCCTCTATCAAATAACGGATTGCTTCTTCTGCACAAGCGCGATAACCGGCAACGAGCTCATGCATCTCCTGTATATCACAATCAGACTCACCAACTTCGAAGGCCATTGGCATAACGTATTTTTTATACTCTTGTTCTAAAATGTGTTCATATTATCAACTCTGTGGAAAAGAGACAAAGAAAAAAAAATATTTAGTATTTATCTGCAAAAATTGTCCAATAAATATAAATAGACCTCTAAAAATAAGATTATTTAACACAACGAAGAAGAAACAAAGTTTTTAAAATCTGGTATATTTTGACAACGTTTTTCTCAGCGTGGTCAGGACTTTTCAAATTCAGGTTTTAATAATCATGGAATAAATCTATCAAAATGTGTAGTTTCGCAATGTTGAGACGGCTAACAAACGTTTTTAGAGAAAAGTGGAAAAAGAAAATTCGATTCGCTCCTTTGTAGCATATAATATCATAGACATGTAACAGTAAAAATGGGGGAACATATCAAAGACATGTAACAGTAAAAATGGGGGAACATATCAAAGACATGTAACAGTAAAAATGGGGGAACATATCAAAGACATGTAACAGTAAAAATGGGGGAACATATCAAAGACATGTAACAGTAAACTGTTGACCATCATATTTTACAAGATACACTTGTCTGTTAGTTGAGTTTCTTAGTACTTATATTATTTCAAGTATTGAAGAGAAACAACTTAATATCTCAAATAAAACAAAGGTATGTGTGCACGTGTGAGTGTTGTTGTGTCTTTTTTTAGCGTGAAGCTACAAAATGGGATATTTGTGCTCTGTTCACCACAGGGAACTTAACCCTGAATGTTATTGTTATAAGTCCATAAACTCACCACTTCCCCCCTTCCCTGGAGGATACGAGAGAATGACAGTCAGGAGGCATGATAAAAAAAAACCGCTTAATTAGCCACATGATTCTATGAGGACAAAAAAAACGCTTACCACAAAGTGCAAACAGATCGTTTAATACAATAGACGGTAAACTAATATATTTGTTTGTTTGTTTGTTTGTTTTTGAATTTCGCGCAAAGCTACACGAGGGCT